CGGGCCGGAACGGAGCGATATGCCGGGTTTTCGCCGGCCCAGGCTACATCATCCTTGCGCTTGGGGCGAAGAAAAACCTTCCACTCACGATCGATGGAGTCCGTTCGTTTCACTCTCTCTCTCTCTCTCCTAACCTTTTCTCGCTGCTTTTCTCGCTTGCGCTGAGCCTTGGCCCTCTTCTGATCCCGCTTCTCCTTCTCACGGTCCTCCGCCGACATCGACACCGACATGGCTCCAACCCCGTCCGCGACCCCATCTACCTCGCTACCCCCGCCCCCCGTGGTCTTCGCCGCCGATTCTGCCGCGGCCGTAGCGGGGGGTGAAGGTGGCGACTTGGCAGCGGATTCTGAGGCATCATCAACATCACCATCACCAGCAGCGGCCTCCGTTGCTTCCTCGAGCTCTCTACGATGTCGGTCTTTGGTTTCGACTTCCATCTGTTCCGGACGGACGGGGTAGTGTTGCGCGAGGGAACTCTCGGTGGATGGGGACTAATTGGACGCGATCGTACGTCCGCTATACATGGCATGCTGGCGGATTTTTTTTTCAGCGGCTTTCTGTTCCGTGTGCCCCCCTGCCGTTTACACCGCTCTTCTCTCGGTTGGGGCAAGATGTGCACATGGTGTAGCTTTCACGCCGTTTTGATTTTCGTGTCACCTGCAGTAGTTTTCTTTGTCCCCCCCATTTGCTAACGTAGGTGCCCTACGCCTTTGCCTATCAATTGCTGAAGAGCTCTGGTCCGCCGGGGCCACACGGGCAGGAAGTCCTCTCTGCGGGTGCTGTGTTCTCTAGGTATTGGGCTTTTGAAGTGCTGATGTGTACCCTTGTGATCCACATCACATGATCACGAACGAAGTTGGTTGTTGCCGTCATTTCAACGTAGAATCATCGACGAGGCTCCATGAATGACCCTATCCTGTGTAAGAACTCTCTTCGCAAGCAAAACATGAGCCTAAAAGCAACACGGTGTTGTCGCAGCACGGGAGATGGGCGAGTAGCTGACTAAAACATAAGCCAAACCAAACCAAAACACGGAGTTGTCGCAGCAACATGGACGATGTATGCTGACCAAAGTATATGCTGCCCAAAGTGTATGCTGCCCAAAATATGAGCCTCAAAATAACACACAGAGTTGAAGCAGCATGGATGATACTTTGGATGATGAATGCTGACCTACCTCGGCAATCCTCGCCTCCGCCTCCGCCACCTTCTTCTTGTTCTTGTTGGCCTGCTTGATCAGCTTCCTGCCGGTGCCATCGAGAGCCTTGATCTCCTTCTTGTGCCTCGCCTTCACTTCGTCCACGCTCTGACAAACGGAAGGAGGTTACGTACCCAAAAAAGAGCAACGCAGACGCCGGAGGCAACATCAGCTTCGTGGATCTCGATCGATTTCGTCGCAGGGGTTGGGTGAAGTAACGCCATGCTTATGCATACGGATCTCAACATGACCAGCGAGGGTGGTGGTGCTCCGCCTTTTCCTGACAACATTTCGACATGTTCGGCAGATTGTGGGTCCCTATGAGGGAGGGGCTGCGAGAGGTTGGTTGGGGTCGAGAATCTTGCACGCCGCAAAGAGTGCGTAGATCTCCTCGTATGTATGAGTACCACCACCGCTTTAGCCTGGGAACCTTAACCTTTTCCTTCGTCCAAAGGGAGCCAGAAAGGGGCAGCTGCGGCAACGACACCAAACACCAGGAATCAATAGCACCGCAAGTGCCGCAGACAAAATTAAATGCCCTTTGGTCTATAAAAGGGGCGGGTCAGTCGTGTTCCTTCCAGCAACTGCTGTCGCCAACGAATGTACTTCGTTGGTACGTGTTGGGAGACACCCACTTCCCAATTCAAGTGTCGATGGTGTGCACGTGTGCACCCCATCGCCGACCCTTGGTGTGCAATGCAAAACGAGCGATCCTGTTCACAGACTACTATTGTGAGACAGGATGGGGACTCAGCATGCATGCCCTGTCGTCGCCACCTCCCACCTGCGGAGGCAACGTTTGCTGGTGATGTCGTCTGTCCTCACGTCCTTACAGTATATATCCAAACTCTTTGACCCAAATGGTCAACCCCGTACGAATTTCCACAAACTCCTAGGTGTACTGAGCAAGCCCACAATGTAGCTACTAACCTCAGACCCAGCCATGATGATGCCGCTGTGTGTATGGGCCGAACCACAGACAGCAGCGCAGTGTGGTGTGCGACCCGAATCAAGCGCACATATGGGGCTCCGTGACATGCCGGCGTGTAGGTGCCCCTCTCTCAATAACGATGGAGCCACTCCACAATCGCCATCCATCGCACAGCACACCAAGGCAGGCCACAACGCGGAACGAACAATGGTGAAGAAGCGGGTGCTCGACCCCATTCCCGTGCTGGACGAGGCTCTACTGTCGGCGGCATTGCGCGAAGAGGGCATCAAGGAGGTGGGCACTACGGACGGTCGTGATGTAGATCTGCAGTATAGTCATCTACATAGTCTACAGCAGTACGTAGCTCGTCGGGTGTGTATACGTGGCACCTCGACACCCTCCCAGCCCGGAAATTGCGATACCCGTACCATCGTGCCCACTCTATCGTCTGGCACTCCTCATAACGGCGGAGACAGCATTGCTGCACCCGTTCGCGTGTCACACACAGAGAGAAACCCACCACGCCCACACAGAAAATCGTCAGGAGCGTTCCGCGAAATCCACGAGGCCCCCACCAAACCTGACAGTCCCGCGACCCTCCCAATCTCCAATCAGCCCTCCTCCCTTCCTCCTTCTCCCTCTACAGCTATAGCCGTTCATTCTCCACACCCCCAAACGATTTATGCTGCCCTTTGTCAATAAAATACAGCCGTTGCCTTGGCGCAAGCGCCAGAACAGGGTTGAGTTGGCACGGATCTCTTGCATCCCGCTGGGCACACATCAACATTCGCCCTGCACCACCTTCGAAACGCGGAGATGATAGTCACCGGCCCACCTACAGAGGAGAGCCTGCAATCCCGACTAGGCGCAAAGCGAAAAAAGCATCGTAGATCGGGTTGTGAACCGCTCAGAGATTTCGGCTTCACAAATTCGGTCATGATTTGTGAGCCTTCAACTCGATTAACTTTTGACACCTGACGCCATCTCATCACAGGCATCCATGCTGACATTCTGTGTGACTCAAGCGGCCGTTTTGCACTCCAGCAGTACATTTTGTCGTACGCATAGACGTTCCCCGTTGACGTAAACCTCGCAAACGTGTGCCGCCCAGCTGCGCGTCGTCGTCAACCTAGATGTTCGACACTCCTTCATATTTGATTCATGACAAAGATAGTCGGTCTCACACGGAAGCGGTCGACAAGAAATCGGTGTGCCGCGGTTCTGGGTGGCTGGCAGCAAGCGTGTCTATTCATCTCGTTACTCTAACATTGCCCTGCTCTAATCATCGTGCCGCCATTCATACGAGCACGCATGGGTGGCGACATGGCCCGCAGGAGTTGTAGACAGTAGTACAGGGGGACATGCTTCTGTCAGTGTTGATCGTCATCCTCCCTCAAGCTCCTTGCGAGTCTCTGTTCTTGAACCAAAGGCTGGATTGGATGCTGCACGGCTGCAAGAACATGAGTCGAATACTTCTTCAGCAATGGACCTGTCCCCACGCCTGCTCACGCTGCTACCGTCGCTGTTGACCAACCGAACATCAGCATGCCACTTCCGCTATTTACTAATCGACCGGCTGCGTGCCGCTTCCGTGTGTCACTATGCTTCGAAAATGCACCTCTCTCCACGCCTTTCCCTGCTCTTGCCCTGCTGCTGCCGCTGTTGACTTATCGAACAGCTGCATGCCGCTTCCGTGTGGCACTATGCGCTCTCCGAGGGGAAGCTACACGGTTCGGACGCGACTTTCGACGGTTTCGAGGACGGCAAGTTCTACATGAGCGCTCCGGCGCCCACGGGCCCCCTGCTTCGGCGCAAGTTTGCTGTGCTCACGTCAACCGTTGTGGAGACGCAGCGCTCGGAGGACGGTACCGTTAAGCTGCTGGTGTGTATCCGTTGTTCTGGCGTCTTTTGTTTTGTTTTTTTGTCTTTGTGTACTTGTTGGTGCGCGGTTGGGCCAACTCGTGTGTTGATGTTTTCAGTGTCATTTTTTTTTACTTTTCTTTCTCTTTTTGTTGTTCTTCTCGCAGTGTTTTTTTTTCTATATTTTTTTGTCCATGTTTTGTGTCGTTGCGCCAACTCGTGTGTTGCTGTTTTGTGTTGTTGTTCTTTTTGCCGGTTCAGTTGTTTTCTTCTCTTTTCTTGTCCTTGTCTCCTTGTCGTTTTTTTTGTTTTCGTTTATTGTCCCTTCGTTGGTGTTGTTTCGCCAACTCAAGGCTCGATCGTTCCCTGCGAACCATCGTTTTTTTCATGTGTTCCAATACACCTCCAGAAAAGAGGGCTACTAACACATCACCGCCGGTTTATTTTTGCACACAACTTTGTCCTTTTGAATGTTTTGCTGTTTTTTGTTTTTGTTTTTTGCGCATATGGTGGCTCCATGAACTGAACGCGGATATGCTTTTGGAAAATAGAGGGGAACCGTTTTAGCCTTGCCTGCCAGATACTAGAATATGATGAGCTCAGCCCAACCATGGTAATTATGTAACTAAACAGCGGTGGCGACCCCCCCCCCCCCCAACCCCGCCCCCCCCTTCCCCCCCCCGGGCGGCCTCCAGACCGGCC